AAGCTTCACTTTTTCAAGCTGCATCAATCTGTCTACTGTTCGTCATGTCTATTAAATTTTATGAAAAAAGATTATGTTCCTGGTGAATAAAATTTTATCATACTATGGGTTATTTAATTTCAATCTGAATTTAAACAGAAAAAAGAGCACTTGATTTCAAATTGAAATAAGGGATTAAGGGGACTAAGGGGACTAAGGGGACTAAGAGGACTAAGAGGACTAAGGGGACTAAGGGGACTAAGGAGACTAAGGGGACTAAGAGGACTAAGCGGACTATTCAGTGGGGAAGCGTGTTTCCCCACCTAACACACGTTTTATTTCAGCGTCGCGGCGTGGGGGCGCGAAGCGCCCCCCGAAGAGCCGCGACCCATGCACGTCTCTGTGTACACCATTATTCCTACCCTTAGTCCGCTTAGTTAGTCCCCTTAGTCCCTCTGTCTTGGTAAAAATGGGGTGTTATTTTTTATTCAAAATTCAATTTGAAATAAAAAAAACCCATAGACTCAATTTTATTCACCAGGAACATAATCTTTTTTCATAAAATTTAATGGACATGGCGAACAGTAGACAGATTGATGCAGCTTGAAAAAGTGAAGCTTCTTCTAACTAATTGAATTGAGTGTCATATACTTATGGGGATATTTAAGAAAAAGAAATTTAAAAAAATATATTTTTCAAGATAAGTTCAGCATAAGAACGTTTTAGGTAATAAAAAATATTTTATTCGTTTAATAAATCATAGAATTTCAAAACTAATTTAATGCTCAGAATTTATGAAATTTTTATTATATAATTAAATCTTTAAATAATATTTCAATTATGAATTATCATCGTGAAGGATGTTATACTCTGTTGTGAACATATATACAGAAAATTTTTCTTTTCGTTCTGTCGTTCGTATATATATATATGTGTATACGCGTATGACAGAACGAAAGAAAAAACTGAAGAAGGAACAAAAAAGTTCTTCCTGCAGGGAATTTTGTTTTAAAAGATTTTGCTTGGGACTACACTATACCCCGCGCTCATATTCTAGGGTAATACTCAGTCTTGTGCGCTCTTTCTAACGATACCAATCTTATGCATTAGACTTTTAGAAAAGTTTTTTCGATGGTTTGATATGGAGACCAAAATGAATCGAATTCTAGTAGCTTTATTTCAATTCGGTTCGACTAATTTTTTTTCGAATGGCTCAGATTCGATTCGATTCGGCACGATTTTTTTCTGTCAGCTCGGGTTCGACTCGGGTAGGCTGTATTTCTCTTTCAATCGACTTGGGTTCGGTTCGATTCGTTCAGATCGGATCTTGATTCTTGATCTTGATATCCCGTAGGCTTAACGCCCGTTGGGGCCAACCACTTTCCATATCAGTTTCTTCCATTGATTTCTGTCTTGTGCTATGTGCGACAAGTCTTGACAGCTGTTACCACACCATTGTGTTATACGGTCTAGCCATTCTCTGCACGGTCGTCCTCTTCTGGATTTTCCATTCATTCTAGAAAATACAATATGTTTTATGAGTCTGTTGTCTGCCATTCGGCAGATGTGTCCGAATAATCTCAGTTTCGGTGTTTTTATGTTGTCCACTATAGTCGTGTGAGCCGCTATTTTGTTCCTAATATCGATGTTGCGCACCATATCTTTCCATTTTATTCCTAATATTCTACGGTAACATTTCATTTCAAATGCCAGCTGTTTCTTCTTATCGGATTCCTTGAGAGTCCACGTCTCTGATGCATACAGTAGTACACTGAATACGCAAGTTTTCAGTAGTTTCAACTTACTTTCGACCTTGAGTTTCTTTGTACTCCATATATGTTTCAGACTGGACATTACTCCTACTGCTTTGTTAATTCTTCGTTTGATTTCCACTGAGCAGTCATTGTCCCAAGTCACCATACTTCCCAGATATTCGAATTTTTCAACATTTTCGATGGTTGTACCTGCTATTTGTATTTTTTCGTCGATGTGTTTGTTACCAAATACCATTGTCTTAGTTTTGGCGGTGTTTACGATCAATCCTGCTTTGCCAGCTGCTTTTATAATTTGCTCAACTTGATTGTGAAGCGAATGGCAATCTTCGTTTAGAAGATTGATGTCATCGGCGAATCTTAAGTTGTTTACTAGACTTCCGCTGACGTTGACTCCGCTGTCTTCCTTTATTACCGCTTCCATCACTCTCTGCAGATAAGCGATGAATAGAATTGGTGACAGCGGATCTCCTTGTCTGGTTCCAATGTTGATCGGGAACCAGTCGCCGATGTCTGTGCCTATTCGCACTGCAGATTGTGATTTTTCATATATCTGTTGTAATATTATTACCGGCTTCTTATCGACTCCATAGGACCTCAGGACAGCCCATATGATATTGTGTTTAACAGTATCAAATGCTTTCTAGAAGTCAACGAAACAATTATATAATTTTTTGCCATTTCTTTTTGCTTTTTCGGCTAGGAGCCTGAGAATCAAAATTTGATGGACGGTGCTTCTGTCTTTTCTGAATCCTGTTTGTTCTTCTGCCATGTATGGATCCAGGTGATGCTTAAGTCTGTTTAGAAGCACTATAAGTAGAATTTTTCCCGTATGATTGATAAGGGAAATAGTTCTGTAGTTTGAACATTGACGGAGGTCTCCTTTCTTAGGAATCGGCACTAAGATGGATTTCGCCCAATCGTCTGGAATTGTTTCTTCTTTCCATACTTTGTTGCATAGTTCATGGATTTCATGCACCAGCTGTTCGCCCCCGGCTTGTAACATTTCGGCTGTGATTTCATCTGTTCCTGGACTTTTGTTGTTCATGAGCTTGTTTATCGCTTCTTGTACTTCAGTATATAAGATTTCGTGCGAATTTTCCTCAACAGGGGGAGTTATCCGTTTTAGATCTTCCACCATGTCTTCCCCACCGCCATTATCTTTGTACAGGCTGCGGCAATACTTTGTCCATCGTTGTTTTATGTGTTCCTTTGATTGTAACAATGTGCCATCATGTTCTTTTATAACGGTTAATTTTGGTTCGAATTTCTTCTTCAGCATTTTCACCAATCTATATGCTTTCTTGCTGTTTCCAGTGTGTAATCCTTTTTCAATTTCTTTGCATTGTTCTTGTATCCATTTGTTCTTGTCTTGTCTGGCCGATTGCTTCACCTTTTGACAGAGAAGTTTGTATGTTTTGTTGTGTTCCATAGAAAAGTGTTTCATTTGTTTTGCTTTTCTCTTCTCATCGGTCAGGTTTATTGTTTCATCAGATATCCATGGCTTTTTTGCTGTGATTACTTTAGTTGGAACCACTTCTTGTACAGCTTTCTTGATTGCTTTTTCAATTTGTGTTGCGTGTTCGTTCAGGCTGCATGCTGGATCTATGTGTTTTAGATTTGCTTCTAATTTTGCTTGGTAAGTTTGTCTTGTTGTTCGTTCTTTCAGTTGGCTCATGTCAACCCGTTGGTTGTGCCGTGGCTTGTTTTGCAATTTTTTTAAATCGCAATTTGATATTGCACAGTACTAAGGAGTGGTCTGAACTAATGTCAGCACCTTGAAATGTTCTGCAGCTGATGACAGATGTTTTCCATCGTTTCTGGATCATTACGAAATCAATCATGTTCTTATGAAGACCATCTGGTGCTTCCCATGTCCACTTTCGACTTGGTTTTTGTTGGAATCTGGTGTTGCAAATAAATAAATTATGTTCAGCTGCAAACTCCAACAGTCTTTCGCCTCGTTCGTTTCTTTTTCCGTAACCGTGCTTGCCCATGACGGACGCCCAGCCTACATTATCATCACCCACCTTTGCATTCCAATTACCAGTAATAATAATTATGTCTTTTCTGGGCGCTTCGGCTATAGCGTTCTCCACGCTGTCGTAGAACGACTCGATGTCATCTTCCGATGCTTCGGCTGTTGGAGCATAAACGTGAACTATTGTTACGTTGAATGGTGTTGCTTTGAATCTTGCCGTGATTATTCGGGAGTCGATTGGATTATAGCACAAAAGTGATTTTCTCGCTTTTGCACTGAGCAGGATCCCAACACCTTTGGTATGTATGTTGCTTTCTCCTGAATAGATGAAGTCGCCGCTTAATGTTTCACCTTTTCCTGTCCAACGGACTTCTGATATGCCAATAACATCATATTTGTACCGCTTCATTTCATTTCGTAGCAGTTCGAGTTTCCCCGTTGCCCACAATGTTTTTACATTCCAGGTTCCGACGGTGAATATGTCTTTTGCGATGTTCAGCTTGCTTGTCGTTACATTTGCTGTTGCTAAATTTATTGTTTGTCTCGTTGTTGCACTTGGTGCTGTTGAATTTGTTGGTGTTGAATTGGCTGTTGTATTCGCTGATGTTGTATTTGTTGTTGTTGAATTGACTGTTGCATTCGCTGTTGTTGAATTTGTTGTTGTTGAATTCACTGTTCCGTTTGCTGTTGTTGAATTTGTTGTTGATAAATTCGCTGTTCCGTTTGCTGTTGTTGAATTCGCTGTTCCATCTGCTGTTGTTGAATCTGTTGTTGATAAATTCGCTGTTGTGAAAGTTGCCAGTGTGGAATTCGCTGTTGCATTCGCTGTTGTTGAATTTGTTGTTGTTGCATTCACTGTTGAATTCGCTATTTTTGACCTTTCTCCTGGATTTATTGTTGTTACTTGGCTCGTTGTTGCTGGAAGAATGGATGCTGAGCTTGTTCTTGAATTGTTTGTTGTGCTCATGATTGTGGTTGTGGTTGTGGTTGTTTCAATGGCCAATTTTTCGACTCTGTCCTGGTTCCCCAACAGAGGACGCGCACCTTGTTCACCCGGGCGACGTCCGAGCCGGTATAATTTGTGATTTCGATCGTTCATGGTTGGTTTCTGTCGTCTTTTCTTTTTCCAGACGGCGGTATCTGCACCCCTTCCGTCTAACGCTCCTCCTTTATCCGAACTTTCGACGGGCATAGTAGTCGCCAGGTGGCGATTCCTATGGTGGAGTTCGGATCTTGATTACTCACAGGAAAATAACTTATAAATAGTATCAGATTTTATGGGTGGGTTTGGATGTGAGTGAAAAGGTTGGTGGTATCTTATCTACAGCAACAACCATACCCACACACTTCTATTAGAATGATTTTCGACGACGTAGGATATTCGAGATCAGGATTCGAGTTTTTTGTGAATGGATTCGCCATAATTTAGTCTTCAACTCTGAAATGTTAGTCTTCAAGCAGAACTAAGTGTGCTCTATCAGATCCATACCATCTTTGGGCAAATATGCCAAACCCTGGCCCACCATACCCAAAAAACCATTGAAAAACAAGACAAAAACTAACAAAATCCGGAAAAGCCCATCGCGATTCGCCCAGAATTAGTCTCTACGTACGAGACACACATCAACAGATAGATTTCGACAAGCTCAATCTAATGCATACCTAATTGACCATATTTGAGTATTCAGTCATGCGTAAAATTGCTACTTCGCGGATAATTAGTCCTTTTTTCAATTTCTGGCCGTCGCGATTCGCCCAGACTTAGTCCCCAAGTACGAGACATATATTATCTGCTAGATCTCGACAAGCTCTATCTAATGCTTACCATTTTTGACTATGTTCGAGTATTTAGTCATATGAAAAATTGCTAATTAGTACATAATTAATCAATTTTTTACTTTTTGGCCGTCAGGATTCGTCCAGAATTAGTCTCCAAGTACGAGATATACATCATCAGATGGTGGGGTGTGGGTGTGGGGCTGGGAGTGGGTGTGGGTGTGTTCTTTCCATGTACGCATACACACCCACATCCAACCCCATCCCACATACCCATACCCACACCCAAAATTTTAACAACTTGTGACTTTGTTTTTCTTAAACATACGTTTCTCATTGAGTATTTCACCGGTTTTTAGTATGGTGTTGAACAGTGTTTCCTAATTATATTTTTCCTCTGGAAATGGTTTTTGTTTAAACTAGAGAAATGTTCAACAGTTGAATAAACAATGAAGAACAATCCGACGTGCCGATTACCAACATTGCCTGTGTCATCAGAGTGCCACGTTCCTAAGCGGCACTAGAGGAGCATGCTCTCTTAGTCTCGACAGACTATGCAAGAAAGAAGCTGAAGGTATACTTTTCACATACAATAGTGAAACCCAGTAAAATCTAAAACCTTCCAAAAACCTGACGAGTTTTCTAGAAACCTTACGAAACTGTTCTCACACGAGTGTCTAAATAGGAGATTTGGATTCTACGCTTAAAATAAGATCTATACAGTGATTTCCATCGCTTTTGGCCCGTGTTGATAAAAGAAAATTCCTTGAAAACCTTCTGGTTTTCCATAAGCCTTTCACCCAGATGCAGGGACCGGCATCAGTTTTTTTACCGAAATGTATCGAACTCGCCTCGCTCTTTCATTTGAGACTAAAATCAAGGTTCTATGACACGTCCTCTAGCGACACGAAGCTTTGCAAAAAACATAATTTCCGCTGAAAAATGACGAAAAAATCCCTTTTTTGCTGAGAGAGCATTTTGCATATAACTTTTTTTCGAAAAAATAGAGAGCTGCGGTTTTCACCATTGAAACCAGCGCCAAAAACTACATCTAGCAGTGTGTCTCGCAGCTTGCATAACTGGTCGATGTAATGATGGTAAAAGCCCTGTGGATTTACCCCTATACTAATCAAGCTTCAACATAAGCAACTGACTTAGGGTGGGTCTGGGTGTGCGTGTGTGGGGTGGGGTTGGGTGTGGGTGTGTATGCGTGCAGGGAAAGAACAAACCCACACTCACACCCACGCCCACACCCACACTCACACCCACACCCACACCCACATCCACCCACACCCTCATAGTTATCATTTCCTTTCAATCCTTGAAGTTTAAAACAAAGGGCGAAAAACTCTTGAACATGCAGCGAGATAGTTCTTCAAATGTATACTCTCAATAATCATCTCTCATACAATAGAATTCTAATGGAATTCGAATTTGATTAAAAAGACATAAGTTTTAAAATAGAATTGTATTGCGATCCACTTTCTTCTTGTCACAGTGTTGGATTTTATTACATTATAATTATATAGGTGTTGCAAAAACATTTTAATAAGAACTCTGATAGCTTACCGAACAGTCAGTGATTAATTGTTAATTCGAAACTCTCGAATAACTAGAAAACTGTGTTTGTTACAGTGTTCTGCACATCTAAATCTTAATCTGTCTTCAACACTCCGTGAAGATTGATATTGATACGAAAAATTATGATTAATAGAATATATTGGTTTGAAGAACTTTTTACTTTGGAGAGATTTAACCATAGTTCACAAATGAAATCAGATACATTTTTATCATCAGTTTGACATATAATTCTATAAGGTAAGCCATTGATAACACAATAAGAAAATTCGGGTTTTGTGTAAAACAATAATTTAGAGTTAATCAATGTTGTACTACTCGATATTTTTGTCAAATGCTTCATCTTATTGAGAAAGATTAGCTTATATTTCGATTTAAACTAATAGAATTTTTCATCATTTAATTTCGTTTAAACTGCACATGATTCTATAAGTGCAAGATATCTAAAAGAATAGTGCAAATACATGTCCAATTTCTATTTCACAGTTCTCGATTCGTTAGACTTTATTAATACATAGAATTAGATATATATTAGCTAAAAGAAAATACTTCTTTGTTCATCAATAGAAAATCACAACTTTGGAAGTAGACTTCTATTATACGGATCGATTTATGTTTTATGGAAGAAGAGAGACATTTATACGTGAAATTCTGCATCAGTTATGATTATTATTATTATTAAAAAAGTTTTAACTTTATAAATCTGCGTTGAACAAGTATATCTTAAATAGTTTATATTTGTATATTCTATTATATTGATCAAATTAAGAGATAAATTTTAATTGTATTCTTACTTAAATCAAAAGAAAAACAAAGCAAACAATACTTACCCAATGCCTTGATTAAAACAAAATCCTAAATCAAGTCTTGTCATATGTCGAAATTGAATATCAGCCACTTGACGTTGTCCTATTCGATAATGATATTCTTAATGATAGAGACATGCCAGACTGATTAAGATCTATATAAGATTCTAAATAATAAATAAATATGATTTTTCTTTAAATCTGTCATGAAATTTTGTTAAACATAGAATAGATATATTTGAGATAAATACTTTTTATCATCTATATTCATCGCAATAAAAGTTCATATGTTTTTTTATTCTTTTCTTTTCCTTCTTTCCTTTATTTAATTAGGATTAATTAAATAAAGGAAAGAATTTAGATGAATGTGTCAAAAGATTAAATTGTAACAATTAATTTATTCTCTAGACTATTTCTTTCTTTTTCATTTTTTATATTTAATCACTCAATG